TTACGACCAGTCAAGTAGGTAAGCGGCACAGGTTTGGGGTCTGGGTATAGCAACTTGCTTGAGGTTAGTAGTTAGAAACCCATTGGTCCTGTCAGCACTGTCGGATGACAGCTTACATAAGGTACTTCCAGGGCAATGGAAGAGAGGAATGGAGACCAAGGTGCCTTAAGTAAGGCCGTCCAAGTCCCCATGCCGGCGACGGGAGTGCCGCACCGGCATCCGCAGTTCATGCAGCCCGATGGAACATGGAACTCCCAGGTTCCTGCTTTCCTTTTCGGGCACCCGGTTTGTCATGCTGCAGTCTTGTTCCCTTGTTGGATGACGACGGAATCCTCGTATCATGGTGCGCAGTGCGCACAGGCTAAGCGAATAGATCGGAAAAGGAAGTCTTGTAGCATTCTACCTTACTTACCGTGGACTTGGGTGTCGGGATGGATTTTGAACGATGCGCTCCGAGCCCGTCGCGGCCGTCTCCTTTTCCTATCTTCCGTGCCTCCCTAAGTCTATGGTGAAGCGATTGATGTGCGGTAGCTTGCGGTGGCTTGCGGCGGCAAGATACACGACCTGCCTAGCGCAGATCAGTCTCGGAACCAACGACAGGTGGAAGCGGTCGATGAGTGTAGGTACCTAGGCACGTGCTTGACCGTTGTAGACCCCTCATCGGCCAAGAGGACAAAAAGCGCAGTTCACAGGCTGGATTCGCCCCCTTTCAACCAATCTGCCGCCAACCTTCGTTTAGGTAGTCTTTAGCTGGGGCACGTCGCGCGAGGGGGCTTTGACTGTGCCCCGTGTCGCAACTACAAGCAATTCCTATCCAGCCAACCAACCCCTGGCTGCGACTACGACTAGGGATCGGACGACCAGGCAAATAGCAGGTCGTTGGGGACGGATGGGGCCAGCGTTCGCCAACAATCCGACAAGGTCCTGTTAGAGACGGGGCCGAATTCGTGCGTGGCTTATTCTTCAAGAATAGCTTCGGACGATCTGTAAGATTTAATAGGACGACGCAGGTGCAACCCCACGGCGGCACACCTATATCAGCGCTACTTTGATGTGCAAACATGAGCCAACGTTATGCGCCGCAAACTCGACCTGCCGTATTGTTCCCATCATTCTTACTCTGTAGTCCGTCGAAAGTATTGTGACGAGGGAATTGGACATGGAAGCTTCACGTCCAGATTGTGCGAATAGCTCACCAAGAAGAGTGGATGTACGGCTGAGTCGTCTTTGCCATTTACCGGGCCTCCCCCTCCATTGAACGTCATCCCTGGACCCCCATTTCCATTTCCGCAACCCCTGTCAAAGCGGGCTCATCCTGGCATGGCAGCTCGCGGCACAGACTCAGAGTACGTGGTAGTCTCCCTCAGATCGGGCCCAGGCCCAGTTGGGGATCCTCCACCAGAATCCATGGCGAGCCGCCGATGTGACTTGCCTCGACGGGAACTTAGCCTCGTAGGTACACCGTACTACGTACGCATAACAAGTCAAGGGTGACGAAAAGGCCAAGAGTCTCCCACTTCATTTTTGCCTGACCTCGGATGGGAATCTGGATCCCATGTGCGTCTTTTGTTAAATCATCGGATGACGCAGCTTTTGCGGTGATGCTCTAGGTATCCGTAGGTTGATCGTGTTAAAAAGCCAAAAGACGAGAAAGACAAGGACATGCAAGAGCATGATGCAGCCATACTAGACCGTCGGGACCTCTCCTTCCTTTTCCTCGTTCCAGTCTACGTTGCCCTGAGGTGAATAAGGTAAGGTGCCAAGGATGCCTACCTCAGGTAAGGGATTACCTGAGTTTACCTCAACCAACCTGGAAAGCGCCCGGGCCTGCTCCCTTCTCAAACCCGTCCACCCCTCGCATCAAGATACTTGCCAGTTAAGGTGCGTGTCCGTCACTTTTGTCTACCTGCTTGCTTGAGGAAGTACAAGTAAAAAGTAAGGTACCTACCTACCTTAGCTTTCCTCTGCAGAGTTTAGAGAGGACTATCCAGTATCAGCCAGCAATTGGCCCGACACGCCTGTCACCATCATTATTCATCTGCCGCAACTTACCTTGTCGACCTTGGGTATGGGTCTGCTGACTCCAGACTTTATACATCAAAGGTACGCAACACGTCGGATGCCATTAAAACCGACGGAGAAGACAAATAGTTGAACGCGTCTCCGTCTATACCTCTATTTGACGCGACTGTACTAATTTAACGTGGACACGACAAGGTCCACGGGCTGTCAACTGCCAACGTCGCACTTGCACCAGAGGGAAACCCCGGGCTGTCTTCACAGCCTCCTGCCTGTGCTCGTGCCTTTTTGGTCCCCTTCTATTTCTCGCCCCACCCCCTTTCCCCTGTTCTTGACAAAAAGAGGAAGGAATGCCCCTCGTCATGAGTGACATGGCTCTCTGTTTTGATTTCCTCGTCCGATGATGTATCTGGATTCTTTGCTCATGAACCAGGGCAGCCCCGTGCATCTCATACGGGGCCAACAGTGCCTTCCATCCCATGATCCCATCGGATCGGTTGGCCCCTGCCATGACTTTTGGCCCACGTCCTCCCGTCCTTTCTGCATGTGGGTAAGCCACCTTGGTAAGGTAAGTTGCACTGCTCTCTCTGTGGAGGCAAGGTAGTCCCTCCCTGGACTGCCAGTGTAAGTGCAAGTGCGAGGGATATGTGGGTGTGGGAGTAGGACCGTGTTCCTTCTTCAATACGGCAATATCCCTCCTCCCTCTCTAAATCTGAAATATTACCCTCACTCCCCGCTCCCTTCTCATTCCCCCGGAACCTCACCTGCGAGCTTCTTCCCTTCTTTTCTCCTCGCTCGGTACCTTGTTTCTTCTCTTCTGCCCATTCGGAATCTTCTTCAGCTTTTCTCCCCGGTTCGTCCCACGCTGGCTTTTCTCTTCCATTCCTCCCACTTCGCCTTGACCGTTTATCTTCCATTCCAGCTTTGGTCAACTTGTTTCGCTTCTCCCGCCCCTTCCCGCTGCAAGTCCATCCAACTCGACTTGACCTGACTTTCTCTCTCTCTCCCCCCCCCCCCTCTCTCGCGACGTCGACCATCTGCCGCCAATCTTGGCCCGGATCACTTCAGCCATCTACCTCACTCAGTCTTGGGGGTTCGCGTTCTTTTGTCAGCTTCGTCGCCTCTTTAGTCACCTTGACTGTCTGCCGAGCAGTCTCACACGTTCTCTCTGAGCCTATTTCGCGCCACGTAACGAACGTCCTATTTCCATACGAATATCTGCGCCGTGCCGGAGTACCTCACCAACCACTTGAACTCGAGACAGATCATGATGTTCTGTGCGACACTCTAAAAGATCCGGTCTTATGCACAACAGGTGTTAGGAGGTTCCAGAAAGTGACGCGCCGAAGTTTTGTCTCCAAGACACTTCAGTTGACGTTAATAACATCAAGTATCCTGTCGCACTTACGTTCACCATTCTCATCATGAGACGTCGATTCTGGTTTCGGGCTTTCGTCATTACGGCCCTTCTTGGCAATGTCTGCGCGCAACTGGATTCATTGCCACCATGTGGTGTAAGTCTTTGCCGAAATAATCATTCAGAGACATGATTGGCTGCAATAAGACACATTTCTAGAAAGCTGAGCGAGTATCAAGGACTAACACGCTCTTGCCCTGCAGATTACCTGTGTCAACAATGTTATTGCCAAAGGATTTGGTTGCGCCTCTGGAGACAATGCCTGCCTCTGTAAACAACAAGACTTCGTGTTTGGTGTTCGCGATTGCGCCTCGCAATCATGCGCCGCAGATGTAGCACCCAAAGTCAATGAATATGTCGCGGGTCTATGTGCAAGTGAGGCAACTTCTTTCCCTGATCTAGTTGAGACGTCACTGACTTTCCATGATAGCTGCTACGCAAGCACCTCCTGCTTCGACACCGCCTGCGTCAAATCCGCCGGCGTCTACACCCGCCGTTCAGCAGACAACACCCCCGGCGGTGCTGCCGTCGACTTCTCAGCCGCCTCCGTCACCATCAAGCTTGAGCGAGCCGCCGAAACCCAGCGCCGCCGAGACTCCCACTTCCTCTGAAGTCGTCAAAACAACTCCATCGGAAACCTCTAGTAACCCTGTCACTGATACTGCTCAGGCCTTCCAGCCGTCGACTGCAGTTCCGACCACCCTCGTAAGCTTAATGTTTTCAGTCTCTGATGATGTCTCTAGCACTGACTAACTCATTCCAGGCCACATCTACCAGGTCATTGTCCTCAACCTCTTCGAGGTCGACGTCGACATCTACCGGAGCTCGCCCATCGCAATCCGGCTCAGCCTCAGAGACCGGAGCGGGCAATCTAGAGAGCGATGCGGCAGGCCTCTCTTCATCTGCTAAGATAGGTATCGGAGTGGGAGCAGGTGTAGGTGTCCTAGCCATCGCCTTGGCCCTGTGGCTTCTCATCAGACGACCAAAGAATCGTACAAAGTCTATGCAAATTTCGGGCCCAATGCCTGGCTCCGGAAGAGACTACACTGGAGGTTTCATTGGAATCAAAGACAAGAATCACTCGGAGCTGGAGATGAAGTCGAGAAGGTACGAAGACATGTTGCCGCGCCAGTCACCCAGGCGTTTCGAGTGAGAGGCAATTCACCGAGGCATTCGCCATGCCTGTCTTTTCGACTGGCCCATCTCAAGCAGATGAGCAGTGCAAGCGGATGTCTTCCACTATATGAATTATGACTAAATGAATGTTAATGAGCGGTTGCGGTGGAGTGGGGTTCAAAGGCGGTTGTCGAAAAAAGGTCAGCATTATACCACGGGATATCCTATTTCTATTGCATACATACACCCAAAGGCACCGGTAAGGTAAGGGGGATACGCAGCGAAGATGGCGTAAAGGACTCTATGACAGCTTTTCATTGTACATATTCTTACAGGTTTTGAGTGTGTTACAAGATGATATCTCAAGCACTTCCGGTTATGTGTCTTCCAGTCGTGACCTTTGTTTTTTTACCATGAGTAGTAGGGTCTCTGAGCCGTCACTGGCCGGTCAGGCAAATGCACCCAGGGCTTTCTCCTCGCCTGCTTGGCCAACTTCTCCGTGTGCTCTCGTATCCTCGTTTTTTCCTCCTTCAAGACGATTGAGATGCCTGCAAACTACTGTTAACCTCATGACGGACAAGATTGAGTGGTAGAATGGGAAAGCATCAAACATACTGGTTGAGGGCGACTGCATGATGCCGAATCTGCCTCTGCCCTTGTAATCGAGCTCCTTGGCCCTCCAAGGTCCTCGACCAACCCAGGCTTCAGCAACATAGAGTCTTGTCGGGTCTGTGATGGTCATGGTCTTGCCTTCCTTGGTCTGGATTTTGATGGACTGCACGTTGGTGGCAACGCGACCGATGCCCATGCGGCGGGTGACAACAGCCAAATCTCTGGCCTCCTCCAGCTGGTACTTGACTTCGGCCGCCATCTTCTTCTTGGAGTACGACATCTGCAAAACGGCCTCTTCGAGGGACTTGCCCTGGATTTGGCGCGCCAGATGCACGAGCTTCTTGACGCTGGTCTCCAAAAAGGGGCTCTTGTGCGATAGCTTCTTCTCAGTCTGTGCGATACGCTCCTCACGGGTGACGTGGCCGTTCTTGCGCACCATCTGGATGACCTTCTTTCTCTCCCAGCGGAGACGACTTCGCGGATCGGGGTCGAGGCGCCACGCCATCGTCTCTGGTGTCTTCACCGACGCTTGGGCAGCTTGAGCCTTGGAGCCACCCTTTTTACTGTCCGCGACGACATCGTCGACTTCCTCCTCGAAGATTGAGCTAGACATCTTGGGCTGCTGTGACTCGGCAAAGCGTTCGCGGACCTTTGGGTCATCGAGGTTCTCGCCCATCATGTCATCGGAAGCTTGGGCTCGCCTGCCGCGACGGCTGCCAAAGATACTGCCGAGAGTCCATTTGCTTCGGACCTGAGTGGCTGGTCGAATGGGTAGGATAAAGGATCGAGGAATCGGTCGGGTGATGGCTTGAAGTGTCGAAGGAGCTGGTAGTTCAGAGAAAGTTAGCTACTTAGGGAGCCCAATTCAACAGGTGACAGCGATATAACACAGTGTTGGGGGCGAGAACGAAGCCGAAATAACATCAATTGGACATACCGGCTGAGGCCAACCGCCTCGTGGGAAGACTCATGGCTGCTACTGGTGTTGTTGATTCAAGCTGATTGATCGTCAACCAGCTTCAATCCCACCCGTTACGGGGAAAAAATGCTCGGAAGATCCCATGCGCGTTGATGGTCGCACCTGGGCCACGTCCCTGGGCCTGTTTAGCCGGTATTCCTCCGGCCAGTCTGCTTACCTAAGTTTTTTTTTTTCCTGACTGAGATGCAATGGTAGACGCCATGGCCAACCAGGGCGAAGCAGTTTCAATCACCGAAATGCTTAGCTAAGGCCCAGCAGCCGTCACAAAGCCATTACCTTGGTTGAAGAGGAATTGAATATCACGTGATGTTTCCCGTCGCGCGAATTGATCAGACCATTCGAGCTACCAGCCAAATATCTCAGCATCGTCAAACAACCCTCCGATTACGAACTCTCGGCTCAATCGACTACCACAACCCTCTCCGCACTACACATCACAATGGCCGGCGCTACTGCTGTTAAGCCCATCACGGGCGTGCGTTTTTCCCCCTTCCGACTATAGAATTTCCGCCGGAATCTCGGAGGAAGAAGACGAAGGGCAACGGACTGTGGGCTAACGACAATTGACAGATGCTGCGACGCAACCTCGTTCTCGACCTTGGTATCGCCCTTGGTAAGCCTTTTTCGTGGGCAGGGCTGGAATTTGCAGATTTGCTGCTGCTGGATTGAGGCCGACATGCGTCAATTGAGCCTCTTGGCTTCAGCATGCAGCGATTCGCTACTCCAGTGTTCAACCCTTGCTTTCCGACACAATCCGAGAATGACTCAATTAACGTTGCCTTTACAGGTCTTGGTTTCGCCATGGCCAACGTCTACTGGTACGCGATCGTCGACTGAGTTCTACAGAAGTCCCACCCCCGAAAACTAAGATTGAATCATAGGTACGGCTTCCACATGCCGCGCACGAATGCCCGCGACAGCTACTACGCCAAGCTCGAGCAGCAGAAGGCCGAGGCCCGCAAGGCATAAGCGACAATCAAACAGCCGAGACGAAGCGGGAACGGAGCGAATTGAGATGGTCTGTTAGATTGGGCGGAGGAAGCACGAGAGGGCATTTGCAGTCATAGACAAGATACGGGCTTCATCAGTTGATCATCCAACCCCGATTGTACCATACACTTCAGCAATTGAACCAAGAGCCTCTTTATGTGAATTGATTGGATGCATGCGTCGATGTTTGTCGCCCTAGTCGACGGACCATTGTCCACCAGTCCATGTCACTTGATTCATGCTGCCTCCACGTTGAAGGTCTTGCTTTGCCGAAACCTCGTGTGAACCAAGTGCGACAGACTGCGGTACGATCAAGAGGACTTGGCTTTGCTCGTCTGATTATCTCATGTATCCAGAAAATACAGGCTTCATCGCTCGAGACCTGTGTTGGTGATACACATGATCGACGTTGGAGCGTTGCTGCATGATCTACGGATATAATTACAGCCTTGGTTTCGATGCACTCGGATCGATTATCCACGACTCAATCTAGCCGGGCCGTATCATCATACGGTCGGCCAGGTGCGCGTACTGTGTGCTTCGAATGAGATGGCCAGATAAAGATACCTGGATGACGTGTAGTGTGCGTCTAGACGCCATAGATACCCCGGAAACAATGATGCCCTGGCTCATTCATCCTCCCATGCCTGAGACCATTGATGGTATGATGGCTCACTAGAATGGCCGTCTTGCGATTTGCCGTTGCCTATAGCTTGGGAGTTGTGACGGGTGGTGGTGGTGGGGTCTGACTTTGAACCCTCCCAAGCTGTGGTCTCAACCATGAACGTGCCCTTTTTGTCTTGACATCTAATGAATCACATACACAATCAGCTTACAATATTCCCGACGACAGATATTTGTGCGACACTGGCAAGCAGAAGGTATTAGAAGAAATCAAAACTCACTGTCGGAAGAGCCGGTGAATTGGCCAGCAGCGGACCGGGCTATTCCGGGACTGCGAGTTCTCGACAAAGCACCTGTACTGCGTCATCTCCTTCAACGCACACTTGGTCAGGTCGACATCGGCGCCTCCTGGCAGCTTGCGCTTCTTCCCCTTGACATCTGCCTGGACGTGCACATCCAATTTTGACGGTGGGAACGCGGCACACGGCGGCGACATTTGCTAGCGGCGACGGCGACGGCGACGGATATGGAGATGGAAATGCCCTCGGTGGCCGCTTTAGCCGGCGCAAGGCTGCTGGGCGAGATCGAAGAGACGAACCTGGACGAGGTACGCAAGAATCACGAGTCCGTTCTGTTTGCGCAAGCTGTGGGTTTTGGGTTGGGGGGATGCTTCTTCAATTGGTTCCGGTCGATGAAAGCTGGATGAGTGATGTTTCCGTTCAACTTTTCGTCCGTGTAGCGAACGCCGAAATCCCCATGACCGTTCCTCACCACCACCACCAGCCATCTTTGACCCCATCACTTGTACTCACGCCCAGCCCCGCATCATCCAAATGACCACAATGAAGTCGCACATACGCACTAGCACTGACATGAAGCACCGCAGATACTGTATGCTCTCCGCATAGCGATTGATCCCGATGCGCCAACAAACAAATCGAAGCATCCAAAGTCATACCCCGTTCCTGGACTTGACGATCTTGTCCAACGGAATTTTCGTGCAACAAAGTCTGCTCCATTGGCTGTGACCGGCCGCCAACTCCCGCTCGTCTACGCACTCGTCTCGGCCCTTTTGTCACATCCACATAACAAGACGGTACTGATCCTCGATACGGAGCACCGTTTCGACGCAACTCGCATCCTTGGTGACCCAGATGACCTGCGCCACGCCTACGTGCATCGCCCAGCTCGCCGGAGCACCACTGTTGATAGCCGCAGCGGCGGAAGCGGAGGCGGGGGCGGTATTAGCATCGGCGCGGAGCAAATCCGGGAGCTCGTCGCCGCTGCGGAGAATTGGATGCTCTACGGCGGACACCACAGCGGCGCCCGGGAATGGTGGGGAACCATAGTCATCGGCGCACTCGGGGCCGGCGACGTGACTGCCGCCTGGAAAGGATGGCTGCGCGTCGACCGCGAGTACGTCCCGGGATTCTCCCTCGGCTGCAGCGCGACGGAGGCTGTGAAGGACCGCCAGCAACGCCAGGAAGCCGTCGAAGCTGCGTCGTGGGCTGCCTCTTCGCAGTGGGGCAGTTTCACATTCACAGAATCTCACTCTAGCACTACGACGTCCGATGCCAGGGATCCGAGGCAGTCGAAGCGTGTCACTGGTACCGACCGATAAGAGATGCGGAGGTTGCAGAGGGACTTCCTGTAGGAACTCCTGGAGGAGCGAGAAGACGGAGACGAGCCAGCACCATGTGGAGGCGGGGATGGGGAGGAGTGTGCACATAGCAAACAAGCAGACTCCCACTCCTCTCTGCGACCACCTTTTCGTACATGTACTTCTGCCATTCTTTTCTCCTCCCGAGTTCCATACTCGTGCGCCAATGCCTCCACTTCTTCCCCTCCCCTCCTCCATCAGTGATCAACAACCCGCGAATCCATTTCTGCCCGTGAGGAAACCCACGCGCGCGGTGGGTTGCCTTCTCCACAGAAGCAGGCGAGATGCGAGGGGGGAAACTGGCGACGAGTTACTCTTTGGAGACAATCTTCGTCTGGGCAACATCTGAGATGCTTTGCCAAGCAAAGACGTGTTCGGCCACTCGGCTTCTCACGGGTACCAATTCTCCAATGAACAGTAGCGCCAACGGCGGGATCAGGAAATAAACAGAGGGATGCAGCTTATATTCGACCCTGGCCGGGTCCTTAGCAGACTTGTGCGGGAGGCGGCGCGGCGCCAGGTCCGTGAATGACGGTGTTCTGCAGGCTCGGGGTTGGCTCGTGGGGAGGGGGGTTGCCAACAGCATGCTTTCATGAAGCTTGCTTCCCTTGCAGTAGTATTTCCGTTGCCCGGTTCGATGTGCATGTTCATGTCGAGGCGGTTGTGGCGGAAGAATTACTCGCAAATGCTAGAAATGGTGGACTATGATGAACTATCGCTAGCCGACGTGTGAGCTATCATTCACCGCTATAATTCTCTCAGTAAATCACAAGACGGTTAATCGGAAATAATAAGAGTAATCCAAAAATATTTGGCGGCTAATGCGCCTGTAGATTTGACCGATGCGAATCTGCTGACAAGCTATTTATGACTCTAGCATCTATCTGTAGTCGTGATGTTCATTGCTGACGCCTTTGGTATCACACTTTTACTCCGTCCAAGTGAATAATCAGATTCAGAAAATGAGGGAGCTCTGAAGAGAGCTTTGGCAAAAAATAAAAAACCGCTGATATCCCGAACATCCCTTTTTATCGCGCAAAGTTGTAAATGCTGAAAAGTCGCCGTTTCTTTAACCCAGAATTGGTTGCGAACGCTCCTCAAGGGGAGTGTAACACGCGCTACCCTTCTCCTGCATGGCGCGAAGGCAGTCTTCTTCGCCGAGGATGTCCTTGCGCAACGAGGTGACGACCCGCTTGCGGATCTCGCGCTGGATACCGTAGCGCACGGCGTCCAGGACGGTGTTAACGGTAGCCTTGGGCTTGTAAGCCGGCTCCGTACCATCTTGGTAGACACCGGTCTTGACCAGGATGCTGTGCCACTCGTTGTCCGCGTGCTCGTCGTACAGGTTTGTGCCGCGAATATCGGACTCGGGAGTATCGCCGACAAAGTAGACAGTGTCGGGAGGGGCGTCGAGGCCGTGCTGCTGGCGTCTCCATTGTTGCAAGAGCCTCGTCGCAAACTCGAACGTGCTGACCTGGGGCTTGCCGAAGGCGTGTGTGTGGAGCTTGCCCTTCTTCTTGGTAACGTCCTTGAAGGCGACCTCGAGCATGCGGCGGAGGGCACCCATGCCCAAACGCACGTTGTCGTGGGCCGCGGACCAGACGACGTCGTTGTGGGAGAAGTAAATTGGTGGGCCCTCATCAAAGGTCTCGCTCAGAGTACCGATCTTGCCGCCCTTGGACATTGCGATATCGAGCATGATCTGAATGTCACCGGCC